GGCTCAACGGCTCCCCCCGGGGGCGAGGGCGGCTCAACGGCCCCCCCCAAGGGCGGCTCAACGGCTCCCCCCGGGGGCGAGGGCGGCTCAACGGCTCCCCATGAGGGCAAGGGCGGCTCAACAGTTTCCCCCCCCACCCTCAACGGCTGCCGTGGCGCTCGCGCAAGGGAAGGCGCTGCTTCACAGGCCCATGGGACGGCCCCAGGGCAGCCGCCGTGGCTGTGTCTGGCGGAGCTGCCGGTAAACAAATACATTGCCCAGGCAATTTAGTTTGCTAGTGGTATAGGATCTACGCTGGGCTTGATTTCTGTTTSAAGCAGCTGTGTTTTTAATTGGCTGGTAGGCTTGCTCAGTTTTCAGATACAGCTAGGCTGCAAGACACCTAAACAGAGTAAATGAAGCAAGGATGATGAAAAACAACCGCCCAGCCACTTGTGTGTCCCCCTTAGTGTCCCTTTGATGTGTAGCATGGAGTTAAAAGCGAGTACGCTGAAAAGGAATGCTGCTTGGGGAGGAGCATTGCGCAGCATTCAGGGCCCCGCAGACCCCCAGCAGCAGTGTGGTGTAATGCAGCCCGTGTGGAGCCTGCTGGCTTGCAGCATGTCCTGCACAGACAGCAAGTGTCTCTGAGTAAATCTCGTGCGTGGTTGTTTGAGGTTTGTTTGTGTTTGCGTCAGTCACGATCCGAGGGCCCTGGCACATCCGTTTGCTTTGTTTCCCTCAAAACTATTGCTTCCCCTGCCGAGACACGCTACATTAACCCTTAAGAAACCGTCCCGTTGGTGGCTGTTCTGTGGCTTCTCCTTTGTCCCTTACCCTGCCTTTTGGGGAAGGTTTCCAGGCAGCATGGAAGGAAAGAGGAGTCTCTGCCCACTGAGACCATTATCTGTAGGTCCTCAGGCCTCCCCTAGGTCATGGTTTGGGCTGCTGTACTTTAGCGTTCGGCCTGGTCCGTCCTCACACCCAACTTCTCTAGCTGTGTTTTGGTGCCTGTGGAAGTCGCTGGGGCCCTGTCGCTGGACCTGGTGCTTCCTTCCTCCCAGGGCATCAGCAGGCGGCAGCTCCCGCTCCACTTGGAGCGCAGCTTGCTCCGCCCCGTGACTCCCAGTGTTCCCTCGGCTTCTTTGGGAAGCGGCGGGCTCATGGCAGTGGGATTTGGGAGGTGCTGCGGGTCGTGGGAAGCAGTCGCTGTGTGCTGTAACTGTGAGGGAATTGCCACCGAAAAACGGGGTTTTGATTTGGAAAAGCTGACACCATTTTGTTTCACCGGGTTTATTTCTGGAGTGCAAAACTTACCTGGACAGCAAAGCTTCCGATACCGAGCTGTAGCCTGCGGCACTGGGCAGCTCTGCAGGTTAAAGCTCTTGAGTTCATCAGCTCTTCAGTTTATATAGTCAGGAGGCAGAAACTGTCAAATACTCGGAGGAGAGCCATAAAAATACTAGAAAACAAAGTAGCGACGTGCGCGCAGAACCTGCTGCCTTCGTGACTGCCCGAGGGCTTTGCAGGCGCTCTGGGAAGGTAGAATGCATGGAGGGGCAGAAGAACCAGCTGGAGCCTTCCTGCTTAATAATTAACCAAGCGCAGCCCAAATCAAAAGCTCAGAATGGGAAGGGGGACTTTGCATTTGAAACAGTGTCTGTGGGAGAACCAGAACTAGGAGTTCTCATGGAAGTCACTGATCAGCACATTCAGTGACTGCAGCAGACGGGGTGTTTTTCTCCTTATTTCATGGCCTTAGCAAATTACCACCCCCATAAAAAAGAAGGGTTGTTGAAAGCTGTTTGAATTGACTGGTCCGGATTAGCAGGCAGAAGGATCTAATCCTTCCAACCACCCGTCTCCCATTTAAATATTAAGAGCAGCATAACTTGCTGAAATCCATGCATTGCCCTGTTTATATAACTAACTGGTCTTGCTCTTTGTGTGTCAACTCGCTGAAAGGCAGAGGAATTTCCTGTCTTGTGACTTTCCCTGTGGTCTAGACACTAAAGCACAATGGGAACACACTTGAGATACTTTTCTATTGTTTTTGTGGCAAAAAAAAAAGTGTTTCTGGAGAGAAAACACSCCAGTGCATGTCATGTGAGGAGGCATGGGGGGAAAAAAAAGGCATGTGCCTGGAAACTCCGTGCATGCTATTTGATCTGAATCATAAAGTCTGACTAAGCTACTGGGGAGCATTAAGCCATGGAAAAGCTTGAGTGGGAATTTGTCCCCTAGTTGACAGGGGACTGTCGTAGATTTACAGTCAGTGCCATCGTTCTGACCTTGAGCTCTTCTTTTGACCTGTTCCTTGCCCAGAATTGTTATGCTTTCTCCTCCAAGCCCTTCCCTACTGGGAAAACTGGAGGTTTTTTTTTTTCTTTTCTTCCCCATGCTGTCCCTTGTGACCGTCTTTGGCAATGCCTTTGTGATGGGATCTTGCTTTGCTCGAATGTGGCACCTCTGGGGCTTGTGTTTAGTGCTCTGGCACCTTTTGCTCATCTTCAAGAGCTGTGGTGCAGATGCAGCTTTGTCCCTACGAGTCTTGGCCCAATAAATACAAAGCTGGACAGTAAATCAGAGTGCTCACTTGCTGCCAGGTCTGCTCTCCACATTTGAGTGGGGATAAACAGAGGACAGCTCCGCGTTGCCTCACATTTCATTGGTGTCATCAGAGTAGAGGGTGAGTTCTTTTCTAATGAGACAGCAGACCCAGTATTGGGAAACAGGTCTCAGATTCCATTTTACGTTTGAATTCCATGAGCAGATTTTCCCTTGTGGGTTGCCTCTCCGTGTCCTCCTGCCCTTCTTCGCTGGCTGATGGCACCAAGGAGACCTTTCCGACTGCTCCTCTTTGTCACATGGAGATCAATAGCTTTGGCATCAAGAGCGGGGCCTCTTTGCAGGCTCTTCTTCCTTCCACACATGCTCCCGCAGCCCTGGTGGCCCTTGGGATCCCGTAGGATCCTGGATGGTGTGGCCGAGCTCCTTCCGCCCGGGAAGAGGCTGCGTGGGGCTCCGTGGCTGCCGTCGCCAGCCCAGCGCAGTAGGCAGGTCTGAGCTCTGGGGCTCCACAGCCCTGCAGGTTCCTCGTGGCAGCTGCCAGAGCCTTTGCAGGGAAACATGGAGCTGCTCTGCCGACAAGTCACTTCCCCCGGGGCTTCTCCTGTTGTCTTTCCTTGTGCAGAGGTGCCTCATGGAGCTTCCTTGAGGGGCTCCTGGTCAAAGGCATCTCTTCCTGGCTTCCCATTTCACCTGCAGGGCCTTAGTGGCTGCGTACAGCCAAGCCAGTTGCAAGGTTTGAGGGTGTGCGTTRAGACCTGTTTCTCATTAACTCAGTGCTTTGTAGGCTGTTAGTTCTTAGAGAACCACCAATAAAGTTTCTTGTGAACCTTGTCCTGTGCTGGAGGCGACGTTCTAGTATTGAGTGTTTGTCTGAGCTATATTTTAATGACCAAGGAAGATACAATGTTAGCTGAAGACAGCTCAACATGAGCAAATATTCCCATTCTCTTGTCCGTGGAGAAGAAGCCCCTCTCGGAGTTGCAGTTTGCAGCCTGATGTGTGCTACGTGCGCCCCTTGGAGCACAGGGAGGGGCAAGGCTGCAGGCAAGGCTGCTGTCAGCTCTGAGCGAGCTGCTCACGGGTGTTTCTTCACGTGAGCAGTGGGCCAATGTCCTGCTGCACTTCGAGACACGCTGCGTTTTTACCTAAAACTTAACAGCTATAAAGTAGTTACACCTTGACATTACTTAGTGCTAGAACTTGAATAAGAAACAGTCTTAATAAAACATGATCTGTTTATGTCTCATGGATTGGTTTAAGTGATGGAAATGGCCTGGTCACTAACTGTGAGGAATGTATAAAACATGTTTGGCTGCCATGTTCTCCTTTGCTTTTGCTTTCTTCTTTCAAACCAGTCCTGTGGCTTCCAATAGCTGTGMGGGTAATTTTAGGCCTCACGTTCTGTCCTGCTGCTCTCCTAAAGTTCTGTGCAGAAAAAAGGGCTGTTTCAACTCAATTACACATTTTTTTTTWAAATCTCTGTGTGTGTGTRTATATATATATATGTATATATACGTTATCTGTGCGTGAATCTCTGGGGTCTTTTTGTGGTTTTATGACCTTGAAATGAAAGTTATTTGAGCCCTAAGAGCCAGAAGACCAGAGACTTCCTTGAGTTTGTCCTTTTGTATTCATGGAGTATTACCATGCGTCTCTGTCACTGATTAACAGCTTAGTGTATGTTTGAGTGGAGTCCCAACTAAAGCTCTTGTGGACATAAATACGGAGGGAAATGTCTCTGACTGCAGCAGTTTCCCCTTCATTGTTATTTTGTTTTGTTCTGTGCGTGTTTTTTGTTTGTTTGGATAGGAGGGGGGTTGCATTTATCTTTCTGTTTGGAGATAAACCAGTCTTTTTCACTTYGTGGCTAGGTAAGAAGAACAAGCTGCGAGTTTACTATTTGTCCTGGTTAAGAAATAAAATCCTTCACAATGATCCTGAAGTGGAAAAGAAACAGGGTTGGACAACTGTGGGCGACTTGGAAGGCTGTGTGCACTATAAAGTTGGTAAGTAGCAAATGAGGTAATCGAGGCTGTCAGGATGAAAGCTGGCTGAGACGAAGGACTGCAGTGCGTGGAGCTGCTGGGCTGAAGATTTATTTCTATTTCTAGCTCTCCTCTCTATCCCTGAGGGCCAGCTTTTCTGGCAACGTGACAGAGTAGGTGCCAGCATATCAGTGAAACTGAGTATGGATCAAGTTTTGCAATGGGATGTGGGGCTGTGAGCTGGAGCAGGCACAGATTGCCTTGTCTGCTTCCCGTGGCTCTGTCCCCTATGGACAGAGAGGGATGAAGAGCCAGCCACCTCTTTTAGACTCTGTAGGGTCTGCCCGACCCTTGGTGCCATCCAATTGCTGCTCCCTGTGCTAATTAATGAGTTTCTYGGAACTTCATTCATGACAAAAACCTGTCTCCTTTTTAATGCAGACCTTGTTGGGTGAGGGTGAAGGAGAAAGCAGGCCTAGACAGTGTGCCAGCTTCGGGTGGGCATCTGGGAACAGAAGCACGTGCTTGACCTTCATGGTGATTCCCTCGTTTCCCCTGCCCCGTGGTGTTTGCTAAGGCCTGCTCACATAGGCTGTGGCACAGCTGTGGGCTGAAGCGTGTGCCCCAGGCAGGCTGCTTTTGAATGGCCTTAACTGGTTTACATGGATTAGCTGCAGACAATTCCACCGAAACAGGTGGAAGACATCAGTGTTTTCCCAGGCTGCAGCCCATGCAGTGAGTCTGCTGCCCTCCAGCTGGGGATGTGGACTAGGAGCTTTTTCTCCTGCTCTGGTTCCCTAGTACCATCTTCTGGAAGAGATACTGCTTAGTGAACTTAGCTTAGTGTGCTTTTGGTACCCTCCAGGCTATGGCTGTCGATGCAGCATGGGGCACAGTCACTAAATATGGCAGCAAGTCACAGCCCCACCAAAACCTKGGCCCAGAAAACAATTTATGGTGCAGTGTCCTGGTCTGGTACCCCAGGGTGTCAGCAGCATAACGGAGCGACCCATTAGCAATATGTGAACAGCTACTGGGTGGAGGCTTTCCAGCTGTGAAGGACAGGCATACAAAGGGCATCCTTTTCCAGCTGAAGAAGGATTTGTGGCACTGGGCTGCAGCCTGGCACTGAGCTTGGGTTAAAGCACAAGTGTGGAGCCAGCAGATCTCTTCAGGTGGTGGGAGGCCTCAGGGAGGGCTGGGTTTCATCCCAAGGGGTGAGCGCTGCAAGCAGTTGCATTGCAGGCAGGGAGGAGCCAGGGATGCGGCTGRCAGCACCGGCCTCCGCGTCTCTTGGATGCACCAGGGGTCTCAGAGTTCCCAGGGCACTGGGATTTAGGGATCTCCGTCGCTTCGGACGACTCTTGGCTCTTCTGCATGATAAATTGTGCTTTTGAAATGAAGGCTTGGGTGCATTCCCAGGTAGTACCCACAGCAAAGAATGGACATTATCAGGATTATCACAGGTTCCCTTTCACAGATAAGGTGGTTGTATTGGACACGCCTCTTCTGCCACCACTACCACCACCAAAAGGAAAAAAGGAAAAAAAAAGAAAGGATTCCAAGAAGTCTTGTAGACAAGGCCGAACAAAAACTGTTTTTCAGTCAGAACAGCTGTGGAGGTTTTTGACTTTTTTTTTTCCTATTGAAAAATCATCAAGTCCTTTTAACACCTATAATTCAGTGTTCCTTCTCTGCAAGCAAAAAGGGAGCACATAATAGCTTTATCTCCCTATTGCTTACCGGGAGAGAACAACTACAGACTTGTACAAGAGCTAAGTATCTAGAAGGCTTTAAAATAATATTATTAAAGCAGACTGTTCTCACGAGACTCAGATTTTCACTCTCACCCCRTGTCAAAATCAAGTTTGGCTGGGAGACAGAACGGTAGGAGGTGGAGGTGCAGGGGGTTAGTCTCCAGTTCTGAAAGGCATCATATCCCCTAAAACTTGATGTTAAGAGATGGGGAGAAGTCTCCTGAGGCTGAATAGGTATTAATTGGTATTTCTTTTTTTCTCCCATGAGAGAAGAGCACTACATGGCCTAACACAAGGCAACACTGTGCAAGTCCCCAGGTTATATTCTTTCCCAAATTCAGCTGGCAGTTGCAAATGCAGATCCAGCAACACTTCTTGTAGACTTCATCAGTGCCCTCTTCAAAACAGTAGTAGCAAACAGAGYTTTGCTCAGCTATTGGTTTTTCTGCTGTCTTAGCGTATGAACAGAGAGAGATATTTGAGAATTTGCCACACTTTGCTGTGGAATGGCACATTATTAACCCTGGTAAATGGTGTGGGTTTGTTTGTGTCATTTTCAAGCCCTGGGCTAGCACTGCCCTGCGRCTTTTTTGTGTCTGATATATTGCGTCTGATAGTTGTTGCCTTTTCTTACTGGAGGGAGGAGAAAGAAAAGGTTGTGAAATACTGAAGAATGCCACATATATTTTTGGAGAATCTGGTTTTGGGGTGTTGTTTCTGAAATGTCCTAGAAAAAATCCTGACTCCTTAACACCTCAGATTTTTTTTTTCCATTCTCTAAACAGAAGGTAAAATGTGTTAACAAAGTTGTCAGTAAGGGTGATTTTAGCTCCTCTGCTTTGCTTCAGAATTAGGGAATAAGGTCCCTTGGAGAAACTTCAGGTAGTGTAACTTTTTTTTTTTTTTTTTTTTTTTTTTTTATCTGCTTAGCTGTTTTAGCTGTTTCGTTTAACTTGTTGGCTAACAAAGAGCTTTTGGGGCAGCTATTTAGTCTTTCTTTGTGAAGTTTTTGGTAATAATTTTTCTTTTTGATAGTATGAAAACGGTTATTCTATGTTCTCTACTTAGGTTATTTTTCTACTAATGAGTAATCTCAGGCTTTGGGAACAAAAGAAAGTGCTCCAAAATAAAATTTGCCTTTTGCTCATCTTTTTGCTTGAAATTGCCTCATTTCATTTCCCTTCCTTTTTTTTTTGTTTTTTTTTTCCCTTTTTTTTTTCTCCCTGCCCTCTGGGGCGCTTTTGCTATCAGCTCAGAATATACTCACGGTTTGAGTAATGCCAGTGTAGTGATTGTAGCTGTCAATAAATTCTGCCACAGCCAAAGGTTTCTTTTGTGGGAAGTATCTGTGACTGAAAAGTGAATTTTCCCTTTTTGATGAGTAAGCATGTAATGTGGAATAAAATAACTGTAAATAAGTGTGTGCTGACTGGATAATTCCAAGCATGGTGACACAGAGAAGAGTGAGGGATTTTTTGGCATAAATATGTCAAAATACTTAACTACATGTAATTATAACTTCTAAAATAACCTACTAACAAAAACCTTTAAAGTATAAAAATATGTGAAAGTACTTTAGAATTACTGCTAAATTCTTTTTTATTTTCTTTTAATTTCAGTAAAATATGAAAGAATCAAGTTCTTGGTAATTGCATTGAAGAGTTCTGTGGAAGTCTATGCATGGGCACCAAAGCCATACCACAAATTTATGGCCTTTAAGGTAACAGTATATTTAAGTCGTATATAGGATTTTGACCTATGCACTTGTAGTTACCCCTTTTACAAAGATGTTCTAACACTTAATCTTGGCAGTATTGCAAATTCTTTGCTAAATCTATTGTGAACTTTTTAGAATATTCTAATTTAGGAGCTCCTTGGTTCTAAAAGCAGTATGCCTGAAATCTGGAATTAAAACTGAGTGTAAACTAACAATCAGAACACTCCTTGTGACTCAACAGCATAACCATGTATTTCCTCTCTCTATAAATAAAAGATGACTCAGAGAAAAGTGAACGTGACACCAGTGAAATCTTCCTGTGAGAAAACTAGCCGTGAGGTGATGTTCAGAGGTGCTCATTTTGCAGGCTGCAAGTGTGAAGTTAGCTGGCTCCTATCAGCACCAAACTGATCAGTGAACAATTAGTTACAGCCAGTAGTGCAATTTGAAGCAGTAAAAGAGTTTTTAATTGCCCTGAGCTGTGGGGAAAACAATTCTTACTAAAAACAAACCAAGTGAAGTAATAGAGCCTCCTTCCCTCCCCTCAATAGCTTGTATTATGTGGTTGAAACGCTGCAGACCATGGGTGATCTATCCTTGTCCTTGGAAGACATATTKGCTTGGCTGGTGTGTTGGAAGGAGGCCAGAAGGCTGAAGGAAGAAGCCCACAATATGTGCATCAGAGCTCACTTTTTAATGAAATCCATCGAGGTTCTCAGCAGTAAAGTCTGGTTCTTGTCTTGCAGTCATTTGGAGAACTGGTACATAAGCCATTGCTGGTGGACCTCACTGTAGAGGAGGGTCAGAGGCTAAAGGTGATCTATGGCTCCTGCGCTGGCTTCCACGCTGTTGATGTGGATTCAGGATCTGTCTATGATATTTATCTGCCAACACATGTAAGATTTCTTCCTGGGGGGTGGATTTCTTCTTTGTTTGACCTACCACCCTTCCTTCCCTGCAGACCATCAACACCTCAGGCTGCCCCTGTGAACCACCACCAGCTGCCCACATGGTAAAGGAGGTGGTGGGGTCCAAACTGATAGGGCCATTTGAACGCATGGGCTTCTGCAGTCCACTGTCCATTTCATCTTTGGGGTTGGTGTCTCTCACTGGCCAGGAGCTCCTCGGTCAAGCCTGCCAACATAGCAGCTTAATGGCAAAGTCCAGTGCAAGTGCTCAGCGGGGGCTGCAAGAAGGAGACCTAATGCTGGGCCCCTCAGTCCCTTCTGCCAGAGAGGGCTTTGTGGTATTAAAAAAATAAAGTGTTTTTTTTGTTTTTTTTTCCTGCTTCTGTAGATCCAGAGTAGTATCCAACCTCATGCAATCATAATCCTCCCCAACACGGATGGAATGGAGCTGCTGGTTTGTTACGAGGATGAAGGGGTTTACGTAAACACATATGGAAGGATCACGAAGGACGTGGTCCTGCAGTGGGGAGAAATGCCCACATCCGTTGGTAAGTGCCCCACAGGAATCAATGTAACGCCCAGTTGAGGAACAGGGAGGTGCATCAGGTTTGATTTCAGGTTTGGAAGCAGTGATGCTGTAAGATTGCTGGAAAACAACTGTGCAAAGTGGAGAGTAATCATATGGGGTGTTTTCTGCTGAGTATTGACGAACAAAATCCACAAATACCTTGTGAAGCCCGTGGATGAACAAGCTCGTTTCAGAAAACACCAGGGCTCTGGGAGCTCCTACAACTTTTTTTTTCTGGTCAGCAACAAAGTTCTGAAAACTCTTCAGTATAAAGACATGTAAAGTAACAGGGGAGCAGAATATTATCGGGGGCAATTCTGTTGTTGTTAACAGTCTTTATATCCAACTACTGCCTTTATTGTAACTTGCCTGCAGAGCAGATTACTTTTCTGGCAATTTAGATTGCCCCAGCCTGATAGTATTATCTCTTCAGCTTAAAATAGGTAGCTATGAGAGCAGGAGCCCTGAAGCTCAGTAAGATGGAAGCAGACATGCTGTGGCCCCAGGCATGTGCTGGGCACCCTCGTGCCCCTGCTGCCCCGTCCCAGTGCTGAGGCTTCCTTTGGTTGTGCAGACACATGGACATTTAGGGACAATGTCCATTTATGGACATTTTAAAAATGAGTATGTTTCCAGTGCGATATTATGTTGTGTACTCTCTACAGGAGGAAATTATTTGGTTCAATTTCATTGAAGATTAATGTTAAAAAAATGTAAAAAGGAAAAGATTGCTATTTTTCTTAAGCACCATTACTAAGATTAATAGTTTGTCATTTTATTTTGCTACTAAAAGTGAATGCAAATCAGAGGCAACAGCTTACTCCTCATTAACTTCCCATATGTTATCTTTGGCAGCGTTCCTAAGACTATCTGTCAAATTGCTTACTTGATATACCTTTTCATAAAGGCTCACTGGAGCCTTTCTCCTTGGTTTGACTTTTTCTGCTATCCAGGACAGATTATTTTTCCTCCTGCTGGTGCTAATCTCTTTAGCCTAGTGACACTCTAAGGAGAAGTATTTGCTTTATCTGTGTGCAAAGGAGAGCAGTGTGGCAAATAATATTATTTCCACCTAGAGAGCTAATGGAAACCTCTGCTAAAAATACATAATATTTTTTCAGTCCCAACAGAATGAAGGTTGTTATCTAGTTTTCTTCTGGCTTTCCCCTTCTCTCTCTCTATTTGTTGACAGACTCCTTCAGAAAGAGAAAGTAACAGTGTCAGATGCAGAAGGGATGTTGGGGACGGGATCCATTTAGTCTCTTTAAACCTCGGGTGCTGTTTCTCCCTTTTTGTCAACACCTCATTAAGCCTCTCTCTTTGTCAAGCCTGGGAGAAACGGTCTGGGAGAATCCTGGTGCTTCTTCCCTTTRATTGAGCGTTGTGACGTTCCCATTATGTTGGGAACGCTCAGGCAAGAACACGGAAAGAAAACACGTGGGAAAATAATAATAATTAAAGAAAAGAAGGGGACTTTGTAGACATGCTGAAGGTGTTTAAGACAAAAATAGCACTGTGAACATGTGTGTGTGTATAATATTGCACAAGCGGGTCCCTTGTAACCGCACTGGCACCGAGAGGCCTTTGCTCTCGCGGTTGCTCCGTGCTGTCCCTGCGGGCAGTAACTCCCGTGTGTTGTGCTCTCTCTCCGAAGCCTACATCCGATCCAACCAGATTATGGGCTGGGGAGAGAAGGCCATTGAAATCCGGTCGGTGGAAACGGGGCACTTGGACGGCGTGTTCATGCACAAAAGGGCGCAGAGACTCAAGTTCCTGTGCGAGCGCAATGACAAGGTAGGTGGGTTGGCGCCACGGTCGGCGCCGCGCGGCTCCCGCGTGTGACCTCCCCCTCTCTGTCCTTGGCAGGTTTTCTTTGCCTCCGTGCGGTCGGGCGGCAGCAGCCAAGTGTATTTCATGACCCTGGGCAGGACTTCTCTGCTGAGCTGGTAGAGCGCTGGGCTTGGGCAAGGAGTGGCTGACACGCGGAGTCGGAGCTCTTCATCCCACGGAATTATTTTCAACTGGAGTAGAGACCTGCACGGGGGCAGCGCTCTGTGTCAATGTGTGTGCAGGCGTCACTGGTGTTAGGTTTCTTTTTGTTTCTCAACTGAGGCTGCGAGGCAGCTGGTGCTGTAAAGATATTGCCGTCAGGTGCTACGATGTCTTTGAGATTTGGGATCACACTAGAAAGCTACAGGTCTTTTTTTTCCCTTCAGCTCCAGGATTCCTAGGCTTTGAAGGACTCTGTTTGTTAGTGGGAAAACAGAGGGGRAAAAAAAATAAAGGAGGAAAACGTAAAAACAGACTTACCATGAGATGCTGTTGAATGGACGGGAGGCAGGCAAGAGAAGGTGACGAGTGGTATTGAGAGTCAGACTTGCTGAAACGGAGGGCAGATCTAGTCTAGTAATGTTAACAATGTATTTAATTGACATTTCTTTTTTTGTAATGTGACAATATGTGGACAAAGAGGAAGGTGCAGGTTTTAAGAAGTGAATATTTATAAAATGTGAAAGACACAGTGACTAGGATAACTTCTTCTTGGGGACAGGGCGGGTGGGAAGGGGTTGGGGTGGAATTCTTGTTTTCTTTTCTTTTTTTCTTTTTCTTTTTCTTTTTTTTTTTTTTTGTTTCTGCAGTTTTATTTTGGCCTGGCCAATAACTATAGTCTTTTTCTGTGTACCAGGTATTGCCTGAAACATGTGCAGATGATAAAAAAAGAAAAAAAAAAAGGAAAAAAAAATCCATTTTCTATAATGATTCTGTGTTAGGCCAGATCTTGGTTATGTCACAGTATTAGCACTGCCTCAGTTAAAGGTTTAATTTTTGTTTAAACCTAGAAGTGCAACAACAGTTTTACCGCAGTCTGCACTGGCAGAATTGAAAAAAAAAAAAAAAAAAACGAAAAAAAAAAAAACCAGAAATAAAGTCCAAACTACATATGTTTATTTTTTGTGCCTACCTCATTGTTTTTAATGCGTAAAATAAAAGAGGTGGTTTAGTTTCTACGTTTTTAGATGAAAACCATTAATGTCTAATTTAATCTTAATACCAAATCTACCAGGTGGAAAGGTTTCTGACTGTTATCGTGGAGCAAGTTTCAGCAGGAGGCGAGAGAGGTCCATTGGGGCAGTAGTGGTAGCGTTACGGCAGTGAGACGCTCAGCACTGTCATTTGCTTACTCAATTTGGAAAGCAAGCAGTTTTTGTGAACCAGTTTCATCCTTAACAGAAGTCTGAATTTAGCCTAAAAGCAGAGGCTTCACTCTTCTAACGTGGGCTTAGTAACAGGCAGGTAAAAATAACTAGGCTAGTTCTATAAACTGTTAAATGTGGTAGGAAACATTTTGGGGCGGTGATGTTTTTTTCTTTTTTAAGAATGCAATGCACTAAAACTCTTTTAAGAATGTAGTTAATACTGCTTATTCATAAAAACAGCGTATACCTGTGTTTAGATGTAAGATCCCAGCTCTGGCTTTTTTTTTTTTTTTCCTCCCCCTTTTCCTTTTTATTTTATTTTTTTTCCTTCAAGTCAGTTTTATGAATAAGTTCCGACATTTGTAATAAATGTCTTCAGAGTAACAATTCGTTTAACGGCTACATGTTCATTACTTGAGAAGCCTTGAGTGCGTAATAATCTGTCGGTGAGGTGTAATATGCACAGTGTCCTGATTCAGCCATTTTTAAAAGAATTTTTCTTCTTGTTTTGACCTTTTTCTAAAAAAAAAAAGTTTTATTTTCCTCCTTCTCCTCTCGGTGGGTACTTTGTAGACAGCTGCCTTACGCTGTTCCCTCAGTGAACAGGCGCTCGGTGCTCCCCGGGCTTTGTCCTGCGCCGAGCGCTCCCRCCCGCCCGCCCGCCGGCCTCCCTCGGATCTGCTGTAAATTCCCGGCGCGGCCGCCGGCGCTTTCTGCCCTCCCTGGGAAGCGCGTGGCCGGCGGCTGGGAAGGGCTTTGCCGCGCGCCCACTCGCTCCCACCCGCGCCCTCGCCCACCCACCCGCACCAGAAGATTGCAAGCTCAATCAAGCCTTACATTTGCCGGCAGAGGGATACCTAGAAATATTCCTTTGGCGTTTTGGGGTTTTTTGCCTCCCTCCCTTTTTTTACTGTACGGCCGGAGGGGAAGGGTGTGTTCTTGGCAGGCCGGCTGGATCAGAGCGAAGGTGAATCCGAGGGGACCGTCTGTTTGTGCTAGGATGAATCCAAGGGGATTTAGCAAACCCGGCGCCGCCRTAGAGGTGGGTGCCGCGGCCCCGCGGCGGAGCCTCCCGCACGGATTGGGTGTCAGCCCGCGGGCTGCGACCCCTCCAGCGCTGTGTGCTCCAAATCAAGGCAATCCCGGCAAACTGCCGCTGCTCCCGGAGCTCTTCCCATGCCCGAGGGCTTCCCGGAGGCCGGGCGGCAGCGAGGCCGGTGGAGCCAGCCCTAGGCACCCCCTGCCCAGGCAAACACCCAGCACGTAACACAGTGCTTTTTTTGCAAGCCAGGAAGAAAAGAACAGCTCCTAGATTTAGTTTTAAGCTTTAATAAGTAATAATTTTTTTCCTGTATCTTTAAGTCAAAGTAACCCTAACTTGTATGACTGCAGTGTTCTTATTTTTTATCTTATGCACATGTTATGTTGGAGAAAATGTTTACAAAAAATGGTTTTGTTACACTAATGTGCATCACATATTTATGGTTTATTTGAAAGTGATTTTTGTGGGTTTTTTTTTTTTTTTTAGTTTTTCATAGTAGTAGTAGTACACTTTTTGTGATTTATAACCCCAAACTCTGCTGATTATAAAGATGCTAAACAATAATACAAAATGACAAACTGCATTAAAATTACTAATCGTAGAGCTGCAAAGCAGACTGGTGACAAGTAAAACACTCAGCCTTTTTTTTGCAGTGCTATCTAACTTGTCTTCTGTGTATTATGAAAATTACTGTTTTTTCCCCGTTTTTCCTTAAATAAAGTCAAAATGACACCTATTGTATGTGGAAAGTATTTTGAATATCTTCTGATTGCAGAAATCAAGCTGCATGTTGCCTGGTTGCATGCACGGTAAGAAGAAAAGCCTTATTGTCAAATCTCATAGCTTCTTAGAGAGTTTGACAATAAACACGGGCTTTTGAGGGCTTTTTTGTTGTTTCTTTTTTTTTTTTTTTTTTCCCCTGCATAAAACCCTCTGTCTGAGGCTCCTTGAGAATTATGCTTTTTGTTTTTAAAAAAATAAATAAATGAAAAGTAAGTGAAAGCCGGGGAGCTTTTTTTAGCCCGGAAGCAAGAGGTTGCATCAAGGAGAACCTGGGTGTGCTGGGGGTACTACCTCCCACAACCCTGCTTCACACTGCTTCACACAGACACGTGGATTTTGAAGAACTAGGACTACTTTCTGGCTATGAGAGTGTCACGAAGTCTTGAGCCAGAATTCTGCATGCTGCACAAGCACCACTCCATGAAAGATCAAGGTCTTCCAAGCAGTGAGCCTTAACACCAAGCAGGTTCATAGCAGATGGCTGTTTGCACTGTCTGGGTTCTGGCTGGCCTTGGCTCGTGTTTTTGCACCATGGGCTGCGTCTCTTTTCAAGTGGAGATGAGAAGAAGACGTTTCCTTCCGTGCAGGCTGGTCTCCCCACCAGGAGAAGTTTCCATCTGCAGCCCTCAAGGGTTTCCTGCAGACGGAGGTACCTGGACTCCTCGAGCCTCGCAGCCTTCCGCCACTGCGAGTGCTGGACACTGAGGGCGACCAAGTTGGGAAGCACGAGCACGACACCAAATCCTGTGTTGACTCCAGGCCAGGTGCTGCTCCAGAAGTGGTGGTTTTCTTCAGTCATTCTTATCACAGAAAGGTTGAGGTTGGAAGGGACCTCTGGAGATCATCTAGTCCAACCCCCTGCTCCAGCAGGGACACCCAGAGCACGGGACACAGGGCRGCATCCAGGTGAGTTTGGAAGATCTCCAGAGAATGAGACCCYACAGCCTCCCTGGGCAATCCTTTTAAAGGCTTCCCTGAAGCAGAACACATGCAGCAAAGGCAATCACCATTGTCACCCACRGAGATAAGTTTGAAATGTTGCTCTTTGTGGGCAAAAGCCAGGTATGTAAAAAGCATGTAGCTGAAAGCAGTGAGTTTGTTGTGGGAGCCTCACTGTGGGTCTTGACAGAGGCAATCTCCATGCTTCCTTGAAGAAAGACACAGCTAGCCCCCAAGTTCCTCAAGAAGAAAAAGGAAATAGAAAAATGCAAAATTAYGGAGCAGGTTTGCTGTGGGAATGGTATAGGTAGTGGTGATGAGACAGGCCTAAAGAAGTGTCTCGCAAGGGGAAGAGGGATTCTTACTGCACAGAACGGATCAGAGTAAATTGCCCAATTAAAGAATTTTTAAAATTTAAAATTAACACATTACATAAAACTTTAAAATTAACAATTGCAGTACTCACCAGAGGAAGAAATGATCAAACACCAAAGGAATCACTCAGAAAAAAAGCATGTACAAAGTTCATAGGAGTGCAAGTTAAATACTAGTGCTGAAAAGCGCACTTAAACATGAGCTTGAAGGTAACTGCAMATGAGAAAGGCTGCAGAGGCAGCACTTCTCAGGGCTTGCTTTGCTGAAAGACACGTGTGTGARAAGCAGAATCTCCTAGGAATTTGTGCAGGGGAAGTTCACCTTTGTGCACCTCTTCTGTGCAGCGCTGGGTGAGGAATTCCTTGCAGAGCTCAGGAAGAACATGAGCTCTTCAGGTTGTATTYACGCTACTGAGATGCCGTGTTGCTGAAGAGGAGGGAAGCAGTAGGAGAAACCATTTCAGGTGAAATCAAAGGGCCCAGGGCAGAGAGAGGGCCCCAGGCTGTGCATCCAAAGCAGGACTTTGCTGTATGGGGCTGGCCAAAGGCAACGGCTGCTGCCAACCCAGCTCAGCTCGGTGCTGAGGCCACCAAAGGCGAGCGCCCCTGGAGGTGACCATTGGGAGAGTTAGAGGACAGCAGGGAATTGCAGGCACRTAATTGCCTCTCCGTGCACATGTTGCTCCACCAAGCATGTTCTCCAGGAAAGGACAAAAGGTCCGTTTCAGAAATGCAAAGCAACTTATTGCTTCTTGGTTCTCACTCTGGTTTAGCCCGGTCTTACTCTAAACAATAATAAACCAGGGAGAAGAGGAAAGAGGAGGGTGTTTGTTGCTTAAGAAAATAGATCCCCAGACTCCATAAAAACGTGCCTGTTCCAGCTGAGGAAATTACAGTTTTTTTTTTCCTTTGTTAAATTATAACAGGAAATTGAGTTAACGTTTCATTCTCAGGCTGTTGCGGTTCTAGGGGGTAAGTATGTGGCATGAGAAAGTAAGATTAATTTGTTCCAACTCGAATTTAACCTACCCTATGTGAGAATTTTTTTATTGCCCAGCTTCATACTTGTCATTTAACATAATTTGTCCATTGAAAGGCATTACCACACGTCCATTTTAATAGAGTATTTTCATCTCCTGAGTCATGCAAGCCAGGGTAAAATATTTTTCTGGCTGTGAAACAAC